GGATAGACAGCAAAAAGGAGTTAGTGAAAGGACAAGAATCGTAGTTGTGGTTTCAAACCAAAAGAGCTGATGTTATCTCGTACAAGGTAGATTGAGGGTGTAGAAGATAGATAAGATTGAATAAAGCTCGAGTTGTTAAGAAGAAAAGGGATCGATGCTTTTCAAATTTGAAGAGGATTTTAAAGAAAGGAAGTCGATGAGTTTGGGAAAAGACGTTTAGATGAGGCTAGGGTGGTTGGAAAAGGAGTCGAGGCAAATGAGAAGGCAAGTTAAAGCGGAGTCAAAGTTAGTTTTTATCTGATGATGAAGTTCACAGGAGGATCAAATTTAATCAGTGAGGAAGGAAGGTGATAAAGAGCAGGGAAACAGAGTGTTGATGAGGAAAAGAGCGGAGAGGGGAGAAGGTCGGCTGAGTTTTAAGTCGAACTCAAGGGACGCAAGCCAACTTAACAAAGGCTGACTTTGAAAAAAGGAAAACAATCCTCAGAGGTCATAGCTCAATGACATCATCACTGGAAGGACATGAACGTCATCCAGACCCAACACTTGTGTCCAAACCATCTGGTTTCCTCAACGTTAGAGTTGAAAAAACCTAAGCGTCCGGCCGCCCATCGGGTCCTCGACATTGTCCCTGCGACGATGGGGTCCTCAAGAATGGTCATGCGACGCTTCACAAATTCGTCAAGGGAATCTGAGTGTCATCTCAATGATCCGGTTCAGATGACTGTCCCGTGAACGCCTGTTGAAGCGTCGGTAGGACCCTGACATTCACTGGACCTCTGAGTTTGACCGACTGTTCCCTGGACGCCTTTTCATGGGTCGAAGGGACCCAAGCGTCCTAAGAACAATGAAGGTCCCAACCATCTTGGTCGGCTACAACGTCAACAAGTGGCGCCTGTTGGATGACTGTTACACCACCGACGGTGAAACCCTGACGTTCCCTTGCGGTCCCAGTGGTTGTTGGGACGCAGGATTTTTGCCAGAGTTTTGGGAACGTCGGGGGATCTCTCGATCGCTCCTGTGGTGTATTTTGCTGCTTTGAGGGGAATGCCATCGATGATCAGACAGCCTCGTTCGATGTCCCTAGCGAGTTGTTTATCTTTCACGTTTTTTTTTTTTTTTTTTTTTTTTTTTTTTTAAAGTGCTATTGATTTCACATACCGCACTATCTATCTAACTTGTGACATGTACGTACAATGAGAAGTACTATCCTATACAGACTAAAACCGTCGTGAAACGTATGAAGACGAGCCAGATGTCATAATGAAAACAAGTGTTGAGTGAGAATAGAAAAGAAGAGAGAAAGACGATGAGGAAGCATAAAGAAAAAAGAAAGAAGAGATAGAGAAGAGAAACTATAGTTGAAGAAATCATCTAACGAATATAGAAAGGAAGGAGAAAAGCAGTAGTAGCTCTGGAGTTCAGAAAACTCTAAACCCTCGTCCCATCCCACCAGAAGATTTTGTAGCTCAAAGTGCATCAAGGCCCCCACAACCTGTTGCAAGCAATTGAGAAAAGAGAGAGGGGTCCCCAGGCTATCCCCCAATAACCTGAAGCCCAGAGGTCTTCAGGGAGTCGGGATTAGAGCTCCTAATCCGTCGCATATACATACAATCGATGATCTGAAATTAGATCGGCAAACGTTTAAATAGAAATCATAGGATAGAGAGAAAAAGGGAGATTATCAAAGTGGAAGGGATGATATGAAGGTTCAGACAATGAAAGAGAGAGAGATTATGTGTTTAGTCGGAGTCTGTAGGTGGGTTGTACCTCCTAATATTCGGGAACCGGTTTGATGCAATGATGAAGTTCGAGACCTCGTCCATCGCTCTTGGGTTGTCCATTATTGATCGAAAAGAATGTGGGTTAATCCGGCATTTGAGGAGTCGCAGCCTTCTCTTCAAAACTTTTCGAGCTTTCCTGTATCTGGCGCAAAACATAAGGAAATGAGCAGCATTTTCTAGAACTAAACATTCAGTGCATCGTGGATCTAGAATGGTTTTAATTTTAAACAGGAAGTTATTCAAAGGAGCCGTGTCCGCTCGAAGTTGAAGTATCGTTGCAGCCAGACCTTTCTCTTGTGTATCTAGAGCCTGTAAAAGTTTGGTGCAATTTTTGGAGAAGACAAACCGCCTTGTGTCCTCATCCGATAGCAACTCTGGTGCTTTGAGTGACAATTTACAACTCTGTCTGAGTTTAGCTAAGCTGTTCGGTACTGTTATTGATAGGGTTGTGCAGCCAGCTGGAAGCGGCTCTCCTGCCGCAGCCTTCTTGGCTAGAGAATCCGCTCTTTCGTTGGCCGTTATCCCCTCATGTCCCGGGCACCAGAATAATCTGATCGTTCGTCTAAGAAGCTTTAAACGGAAGAAATTATCAGTGTAAATGCTTTGACCTGGAGACAAGGAAATGGGGTTTGATGAGAGCATCAGGGCACTCTGGTTGTCGCTGAAGATTGCAACATCGGTGTAGCTATTCTCGGTGTCCGCTTCGAGTATCTCCTGTGCCATATTTATGGCGAGTCTTACTCCTATCAGCTCCGCCTCAAAGTTAGTGATTGTATTCGCTGGGTGTAGTGTAGCTACACAGCCTCTCCCCGAAGGATGGGTCACCGCCGCTGCTCCGGCGCCTTTACCAGGTAACCATGAGCCGTCCGTGAATATAACTAAGGTTTGATTCTGAACTTCTTGCCGGAGTTGATTAGGAATACATTGTATTGCCTCAGCTCTTTTTTTAAGTAAGTTGTGTATTTCCGATATTGGTTGACACCAAGGAGGGGCCGGGACTGGTCGGATGGTTTCTGTTAGGGATTTTGGGAAGCTGTATCTGTCAGTGGGAGTCATCATCAGATGTATCGGGCTCGGAAAAGGAGGTTGGTTGACGGTCAGTTCTATCCGAAGGATATCAGCGACAGGGTGGGAGGGAGGATAAGTCAGAGCTCGTAGAATGTAAAAGTGTGAGTTTCGGAGATGGACCTCTGTAGGAGCCACCAAGCCACTGCTCTTCCGAACAAAAATTAGAGGGGTCTGTCGAAACAGGCCAGTGATCAACCGACAGGCTCTATGGTATAGACCATCAAGGACCTTAGCCACTGAAGTGGCATTTTTCTTGTTAAACCATATGATACTACCAAACAGAACCCTGGAGTAGAGAACGGAAATCACCAATTTCCTCGCCAGGGCCGTGTTTAGTCCGTATGTCGATTTAACTATCCTGTCGAGCTGGCAGATTGTCAAATCTCCAGTAGCCTTCACCTTTTTCAGGTGTTCTGAGAAGGTTAGGCGTTGATCAAGAATTATTCCTAACCACCGCGTGGACTTTTGGAACTCGTGAGTATGGCCGTCAAAGTCGAAGGTGGGAGTTGTCAGGGATTTAAGGGAGAAAAACATCAGTACTGCCTTTTTTGGGTCGAAGATGGCACCATACTTTCGACCCCATTCAAGGGAGCGAGAAGCATCTTCTTGAAGCATCTTGACAGCCTGTTCTGCTGTGTTGGCGGCCACCAGGTGGACAACATCGTCCACATATCCGATTGAAATCCTAGTGTCTTCGAATGAAGTCCTGTTATTAAAAAGTAAGCCGCTGTTGTATAGGATATAGAGGGTGACTGATAAAGGAGAGCCTTGGGGGAGGCCCTCTTTGATGGGAAAGTTGGAAGAAATATAGTCGCCCAGTCTCATAGAAGTGGTTCGGTCCGATAAGAAGGAAGAGATAATGGAAATTAAATATCTAGGGCAGGAGAGATGGTGAAGTCTGTCGATGAGGCGGGATGTGTAGACCGAGGGGTACGCTGATTTTACATCTAGGAACAAGCCGGCAACAACTTTTCCTTTCCTCCATTGATGTTTTACCCATGAGGTAAAAACAACCAAGGCATCTGTTAGGTTACGTCCCCGTCGCCCACCCATATGTCCCTGGGGGAGGATCTCATTAGTTTCAATCCAGTGAATTAGGCGTTCATTAAGGATCTTCTCGAAGAGCTTCCCCAGGGTGCATAGGAGTGTGATGGGTCTGTAAGCGTTGGGATCACTATAATCGGGTTTACCGGCTTTCCGAATGATAGCTGTTATTGCAGATCTCCAGCTGCTGGGGAAATGACCTTGTCGTAGGCACGCATTAAAAAGAGGGGTGAGAAAGGGAGAGAGATTGGCTTTGCCCATCTTGAGCAACTCATTAGGGATGAAGTCCGGCCCGACCGCTTTCCTAGAGGGGAGGGACTCAATTGTTCGATCTACCTCAGCTTGAGTGATGGGGGGAAAGGTGGGGGGGGGTGTTATCCACTTCGCGGGGTAGGATATCTGATAAGTCACACTGAGAGTTGATGACTGATGTACCATTGAACAGTATTTCCGCCTGTTCCGCCACATCCGTGCAAAGGGATTTATCATGCCTATACAGGGGTTCTACTGTGGCGGATTGTTTAGCTTTAGTGAATTTGTAGGCCTGAAATGCCGCGGCATCCCCAGTTCTGGCTAGAAACTTTCGCCAGTGTAGCATTTTGAGTTCTTCAACCTTTTGTTTGAAGGTGCTCTGCCAGGCAAAATAGCAGCGACGCGACTCTTCAGAATTGGATAGGATCATCCATCTGCGAGCTCTATTCCTGTTTGCAACAAGCGGTCCGAGAATCCCCGGGTCCCACCAGGAGTTGGCCCGAGCGGACCCTCTCCAGGGCACCGTGCCTTGTTTTTTATGGCAGTTCTGTAAGCTCTCTGTCAGATGGGTGACCGCCCGGTCTATGAGTTCCGGGGTATTAGAGGTGTGGGGGAGGGGAATTTCTCTGATCAGATGCTCCAGATCATTTTTGAATTGGTCGCTATCGACCCTTTCAGGGGTGATGCCCCTGTTGTTCTGGGGCCTGGGGATTTCTCCATCTAAAGAGATTGAAAGTAGGATTGGTTGGTGGTCTGATGCATGGTTGTCGAGGGTGACCCTGCATTGTGTTACATGGCGCCTACATTTGGCATTAACCCAACACAAGTCGATGGTGGTTTGTGCACCTCTGGGGTTTAGGAATGTTGGTATGCCTATTGGTGAGGCAAGAATGAAGCCTTTTTTCCCACAGAGTTTGATAAGATCCTTAGAGGAGGAGTGAGTATGATGGTAGTTAGGGGGGTTCCAACGAGGGTTGTGGAGATTTGAATCCATCATGAGGACAGTGGGAGAGTGTCTACAGTTGTGTTGGTCGAGCCAGTTCTGGAGGATGGGGATTGCAGGGAAAGTTGACGGGGGATTATAGAGAGAGATGATGAAGAAACGGAGGGGGGGGTGAGAATGCACTGTGAGGGAAGCAGCCGTGAGAAGTTTTGAGTTGTCAGGTAGTCGGTGGAATTGATGGCTGGGGATAGATTTGTTGATGTAGATACAACAGCGTGGTCTGTTGTCGGAGGAGGTAGGCTTATTGACGGGCGAGATCCTGTGCCAGCCAGGATGAGTTGGGGGTAGGTGGTCTATAGGGTTAGTCCAGGGTTCCTGAAGCAGGATGGCTAAGGAGGATGATTCACAATGAAGTACGCTAAGCGTAGTGTCCCTTCGGTTGTGGCAGTTGAGCTGTAGGAGAGAGATGGTGTGGTAAGGTTGTTCGGTGGGATGGAAAAAGGGATTCCTAGAGAAATTTGGGGGTAAAGGGCTAGGGGGGCTTGGGGGATTAGGAGGAAAATCTGTGGTGGGGGTTGCAGAAGTTGTACCTATCATTGATGAGAGTTAGGATTCTTATCTTTGGAGAGTTTTTCCAATTCTTTAGTTCGGAATCTTTCACGTTGAAGAATCTTGTCTTTCTAGTTTGGAGGCTTCCGCAGCCCCGATCAAACGGGACCTCTTCGTGCCCCGAGTCGGGTCTTCCGTTCGGGGAGCTAGAATCGAGCACTTTCTCCGGGCGGAAAGACCAGAGGGACATCATCAAACCACTACCACCAGTCTCACAAGCTTGAAGCACCTATCATCATGCACAACTCAAACTTTCGGTGCACCTACGCCAGGATATTCTCAACAGTGCTTCTTTTCGGCTTGCCCAACAAGAACCATGCTTTCATGGAAACATCTTCATTCTTGGCTTGGTCCAACGCACCAGGGTAAGCTCAAGACTTTCCTTGCTCCTCACGACGTACATATCACCACATGATTGATAATTGGAAACTTGCAATATATTTGAATTTTGGTTGAAAACAGTGCATCTCTACAAGAGTTTTTCGGACAGGGATTACCGGATCGAGGGTTCCAAGCGGCCACTGACCAACTGACCTTTGCGTCGCGATCCGAACCACTATGTCCTACGGGTGCTTCGTCTCTAACGATCTTCGACCTCTCAGAATCCGACAAACGCTCGGAACTCAACAACGGATTCCTTTCCTCTCAGACGATCACTCAAGAGTTCAATGCGCTCCCAGAACCTTCCAGGTTCTGGACTACTCATTTCCCTATCTCCTTGGCCGATCGTTGGGTCGCTGAACTCCCGTCGATCTGGTCTGGATTGTGTCATGGTCAAGTGTCGGTAATTAAGGTCAAAACTGGCGAAGATTTGGGTGAGCATTTCCTACAAAAAGTCAACAAAAGACCTTATTCAAGCTTATTAAAAACTGCTTTCTTGTTTGACGTCGGTGTAAAATAGATGCAGCATTTCTTAAAGCAAGTCAAGAGGGTGATCAACCGCGATTAGTAATCTTGACGACATCGCCGCCTCCTCTGGATGCGAGTAGTAGATTGATAGAAAGACGAGGCCTATCAGAGAACATCAGCAGCAGTAGTAAACCAATAAGCTCTGAGGCCCTTCCAGACCCGAAGACGGGAGTATTCTGGCGATATAACTTCCTTTCGGATTACTTGATCGTCGGCGTCCTCGTCCTCATCTTGCTCTTCATCCCTCCCGTCGTCTTGGGCGCCTTCGCTCTCCAATCTATTGAATCCCCTAAAGGCTTGAAATCTAAAATGGTCGGTCAAGTCTCCGAAGTCAAAGGCAATTGATCCCGCTACATATCGTCCTCTTTTACTTGTGTAAAATTAGCTCTCCTTGGTCTTAATGTAATTGAGCTCCCCCTTTCTTTTTGTTTTCAAATAAAATATTACTATACTGTTGGTTTTGATCAGATCTTTTTGTCGGGTTAGTTTAGTTTGACCACTTTTTTCATGTTCCTTAATGTCTCCAACATCAACCCTTTTAGTTTTGGACCAATTTTTCTCCTTCAACAAAATATAGAACTAAGTATAACCAAGTTTCTAAAGACATGCAGCTGGGTGATAGCTGTGATTTGAGATTTACAAATATCAACACAATGACCATGTCCTTAAAGGAGGTTTATGAGCTGAGTCTTCTATGAGAAATAGGTTTGGGTACACCAACTTTGAATGTATATCAAATTCTTTTCCCTGGAGGGTGTCTGCAAAAGAACATTGAAAATAAGACACGTGTAACCAAGCTACCCAGGTATCCTAATCACAACGCTGCCACAGATACAATACGCTGTGTGTATCATGGAGGATTCTGCAAAGCTGCATGGCCAAAAACCAAATTTGTTGAATCTCCTTGCAAATAAAAGCAGATTGATCAGATAGTTTTTTTTTATTGGGGCTCAGATACATAGTGATACATGGCAGATACGGGCAGATACCGTATCTGTGGCAGCGTTGCTAATCATCAAAAGCTGCCAAAAGAGATAAGAAGGAAAGGATTCCTGTTGTCCAAACTTGGTGATTCAGGGGGGCTACCCCTGACTAGTCCTAAACCATATCTTCTGGTGGAGATCAACTGAGAATGGCAATCAAGTCATTCAAGCAACAAAAAAGACCTTTGGGAGCTTTGGGAGTCTTTGTCATCTACTGCCCTCATTAGAGATTGTTCGTCCGTACTTTTTGCAGGTACCTGGTACCTCCTGGGGGGTACCCCTCGCACCCGCCCCGCACCTGCCAGGAGGTGCCAGGTGCGGTACTTGGTACCTATTTTTGTGAAAAATTGAACAGGTACCTAGGTACCTCTACAGGTACCCCCTCACTTCCCTACCAAAAATCAAAATGATGGTGGCCTTCTACTCCAAGAACTCCAAGATCCAAGAAGGTACCTTGGCTGCATGGAAACAGGGACTCAAGGATAACAAGAAGTCTAACAAAAAATCAGAAAGGAAGGTGATGGTTTTGGATGACAATGAAGACTCTTCCAATTAGTTATAAGTTTTAGATAGTTTCAACTTTTCAATAAATTATTAAATATGAACAAATGAAAAAAGTGATCTGGGACTGATGTTTTACAATAAATATGAAACAAATAGAAAAGTAAGATTCTTCCAATTAGATGTAGATATATTACCACAGATATTAAAAAATGCCAAAAAAGTGACTTGTGAGTGATATTTTACAATAAGTATGAAAAAATAATAACAGTAATAAAGTGACTTGGGACTCTGGGAGTGAAACTAGGTGAAAAAGAGAGGGGGGGTACCTGAGGTACCTGCAACGGGTACCTTGGGTACCCCCCGGGAGGTGTCTGGTGCGGTACATGGTATCTATTTTATTGAAAAAATGAACAGGTACCTAGGTATAAACAGGTACCCAGGTCCGAACGAACAATCTCTAGCCCTCATGCAGATGAAAACAGCACAGCCTTTTATATCAAGCCCTAAAGGCACCATATCAATGAAAAAAAATGATATCATTCATTGAAAGAAAGAAAGCCAAATCTGACTGAATAAACCACTGGATAAACCAAATGGGTAGGTATGAGAAGTTACTTTATGTGTCCAAAGGATAGTTTTAAGTTCATATGTTTGATACTATTGATTACTCTTCATTAGTATGATTCAAGTTCAGACTATATATGAGCATAAGAACATAGATTCACACATGACTCTTAGCACAGGACAACTTATAACACACAACCCCCCCCATTGCTTCAATTGAAAAAAAACTACTGAAACCATTTCCAACTGACCATGTATATTGTATTATGAAGTTGATAATGCTTGATGATTTTTATTATTATTATTGGGAATTATTAGAACGGAGAAGATGATGATGATGATGATGAGAAAGCTTTGAAGAATCAAAGTCATCCTGGCATGTTTTAGGAGTGTATGTATTTATGCATATTCCAAAGGGCTGACCAAAAGTTTTAAATGATTAGTGATCATTGTGATACATGGGGCAGGGGGTCACAATAGGCCGGCTCACATCTGAAGTTCAAGACAACTTTCAGCACATTTATAGATAGAATTTCATGAATCTTGTCCAATCTCATGAATGATCAGGTTTGGAGTAACTTGCAGAGATTTTTCACAACCTTGTAAAATCTCAATGACAATGATGAACACCATTAAATTTGCCTCAACATTCAGACGTGAACCATCCTAATTGGAATTTACAAAAAAAAAACTTCAAGGTGTACCTATCAACCACTTTCTGGAAATAACAATGTCCAGAACCCCCAAAAGTTGTCCAGATTGTCAAATGTCTCTAAGCTTGTTGTTGATCAAGACCTTATAAAGCCTTGATGTTCTGCATTGAATTCGGAGCCTAACTAGGCCTCCACGGCGGTAGCGGGAGCGAGCAGCGGAGCTGTCCACGCCAGTGGAGGCCTAAGACAGATGCGGCAGTCCCCGCGTGCTGAGTTTTCAAATTTGGGCTTAAAAGCCAGTTTTTTGTGCATTTTTCTACCTATGCTCTTCCTCTTCCACTATTATCTAATTTCCTTGTGGACCAAGGAGGGCCTGCTTCTTGTAAATGTTTCCCTCTCCTCACATTATTTTGTAATTTTGTCAATTTTGATATAGTTATTTTTGAAAATGACAACTTTTCAACAAAAGTTGAGTTTTTTTTGGTGTGCGCGAGTTCATTAAGCTGCTTATGTGAGCGTAAAAAAAGTTCAAACGTTGATTTTAGAAAATCAATATTGATTACTTTTGTGATTTTAAAATTTTGAAATTTGACCTGATCAATACAGCTATTTCGGAAAGGGTTGTCCACTTGGACTCGCGAAATCTTTTTTATTTTTTTATTTTTTTTATTTTTTATTTTTTTACTGAACTGGACCTGTCAGAACTGAACTATCGATGACAGCTGTACCTCCTCAGCTGTAGTTCAGTACAAAGAAAAATTTAAAAATTTTCAAAAAAAAAAAAAAAAAATTGAGAGACAACTGGACAACCCTTTCCGAAATAGCTGTAAGATCAGGCAGGTCTTGAAAAATTTGAGACCAAACATCAAAAAAGTTTTGAGGGAGCGTCATGATTTTAAATCTTGTGACGCTCCCACCAGAACACCAGAAACTCAGCACCTGAGTTTGTCGACCTCTGGCCCAAGTCTCCCCTGCGGGGAGTTCCCTTTGGGAACCGCCTGGCCAGCGCTACGCTGCCAGATGCGCCCCCCGCAGCCTGAGACTTGCAATAAGTTTAATTGAATTCCAATTGTGAACCCCCCCTGGTTATGAGATGTTAAGATGTTTTGTTTGGAGTGTGAGTTCCAGACTCCAGCTGATGAAGAAGACCACTTCCATTGTGATTTGGTGAAATGGGGAAGCAGAGAGGGGGGAATACATCGCGGTGTGAAGAATGTCTACGGACAGCTCGTTCTCAGACCACTACATACGTCATTTTTTGGTTGATGATGATGATGATGATGGTAGAGACAGAGATAGAGATTGGGATTCGATGAATGAAGAGGATAGTAGATCGATGGATATGAGATTGAAGATTGGAGTGGAGGATGTGGGGCTGATTGGAGATTGGAGATCTGAGTGTTTGCAAGTCGAGCTGAAGAAGAAGACACAGCAGCCGATGATCCTGCGTTCCAGTTCTCAGAATAGCGGCCGATGATGATGCTGTATTTTCCAAGTGATCTTTGGATGATCGGAGTGGTCGCTGATGAAGAGGATGATGATTTCCAAAGACAGACTATTGGAGAGCTGGGGGGGTCGTGTTTGTAGAGCGCAGCGGTACAAATCTTGAGAATAGGAAAACTCCCCCAAGGGAGAAACTGTATTTCGACAAGAGAGGACTATATATAGTATCTACAACTATGTACTTGGGTTGTTGAGAAAGTACAACTAAAGATAAGTGCATAATATGTAAATATATGTGTGAAAATAATATGTGAAAATCTATGTATAAGGTATGGAATATGTATATATATGTAAGTGCATAGTCCTGTAATAACACTCCCCCCCTCAACAACCCCATGAAAGAAGAGAAAAATAAAAATGAAAATGAAAATAAAAAAGAGAGAACCCAAAAAATGGAAGTAGAACATTGATAAAAGAAAGAAAGAAAAAAGAGACCAAAACCAAAAGAATATAACATATGATGAGGGAGAGGAGAAACCAAGGGAGAAAAACAATATAATAACAGAAAAAGAAAAAAATAGAAAATAACCGCCAATGGGGAAACCTGGGTGCGGAAAGACATAAAGCAATATAGGTTAACCACCGTTGAACCAATCACCAATTGAGGAATTTTTAGATTCCGGAGAGAGACGAACAATCGCGGGGGGCGTATGTTCATCGCAGCCAGCGCATACTTTCCCCCCAATACTTGCCAAGGTGTGAGACAAAGACCGCAGTCCTGTCTGAGTCAAGAATTCCGACACTTTCCGCCAGCCCAGTGCTTTGGTGAAGATATCCGCCAATTGTTGATCAGTGGGAATCCATTCTAAACGAACCTTTTCTTGATAAAGGAGTTCGTTGATGATGTGAAATTCTCTGTCCACGTGACGATGCTCCTTCCTAGAGCCGCAATCCTTGCTGATGTACACTGCCGCCTTGTTGTCAGAAAATATAAGAGGAGAAGAAATGGAGAAGAAGCTGGAGAGCAAAGAAGAAAGGAAGCAGGAGTCCTTAGCGGCAAAAGACAGTGCCATATACTCCGCCTGGCAAGTCGAACGGGCAACACAACTCTGGCGCTTTGAAGCCCACGATATGGGTGCCCCCCAGACCGTAGAAATAAAGCCATGAACAGACCGCCAGCCTTCTCCCCCCCAGTTTGCATCAACAAAAGTCCTGACACAGTCGGATGGATCACCAGACGAAACAATAGGCAAGGCAAGTCCAGAAGTGAAGCGGACGTAGGAAATAAGGTGTTCAAGAGCATCCCAGTGTGACTGATCCGGCGCCATGGAGAAACGTGCAAGGAAATTGACGGAGAAGGTAATATCCGGACGAGACCCCTGAGCAAGATACAGGAGACAACCAATCCTCGACAAATATTCACGGTCCATTCCCTTAGAAGGATTGGATACCAAGTCCGTAGAAGGCAAAGGCGTACGAGTTTTGATGTTTGATGGAGAATAATTGATGATTTTCTCAATCAACATGGGCTGATCCAGAGCAAAACCTCCAGATATTTCCTTAACACGAATGCCAACAATGCTGGACAATTGAACATCCCATTTGAGATCGAGGACTGAATCCAACTGAGACTTCAGACGAGACATGAGCTCCTGTGAACTTGCCGTGAACAAACCGTCGTCAACATGAACCCACAGAAAAGCCATATCTTCACCAGACTTGTAGACGTAGGTTGATTGATCTTCAAGATTCGGATGAAATCCAATGGTAGCCAATTTGGCCTTCAGGTGAAGCCACCAGCATCGGGCAGCCTGCTTGGTACCATACAAGGCTTTCCTCAATTTCAGGACGCAACCGGGAGAGACGTTGACACCGGGTGGTGGACGAATGTACACATCATGATCAATATCGCTATGAAGAAATGCTGACTTGACATCAAAAGAGGCTACCGGCCAACCGAATCTAGACGCCATTGCCAAAAGGAGACGGAGTGAGGGAAAAGTTGGAGTAGGAGCAAAGGTTTCACCAACATTGACACCATGGACCTGTCGGAATCCTTGCGCCACTATACGAGCCTTAAAACGAGTGATAATTCCTTCCTGACTTCGTTTGAGCGCAAAAACCCATCGACAGTTCAGGACCTCAATGCCCTCCGAAAAGGGGACTTCTTCCCAGACATGAAGTTGAATCATCATTGCGATCTCCTCCTCACAAGCCTTCAACCATTCACAGTGAAATTCGGACTTCAATGCCTGACCGTAAGTGTTAGGTGCATCCGAAAGGAAAGGAGAGAGCGCAACAGCTGAAGAGACACAGGCATCTTGAATTTCCAATTCCTTAATTTGAGAGAAATCACCCAAGTGAAAAGCCTGTATCGAGTTGAGAACAGCGTTGAGGGTGCCTGAATTAGTCAATTGAGAGGGAAGTTCGTCCTCGTGAAAGATAACCGAAGCACCGATCTCCAATTTCTTGGATACAGGATTCCAGAGAGTCCAGCCGTGAGAGGTATCAGAAATCCCAACATGGATGAGAGGAGTTGACCGGGGGACAAATTGCTTGGGATACTTGATGTTATGTAGATAAGCCCTGCAACCAAACACCTTGACCATGTCGAGAGAAGGGGTTTTTCCTAAGCACAGTTCGTACGGAGTCTTCTTAGCGCCTTCATGCACAATCCGATTGAAGATGAACGTTGCCTGTTTAAGCGCAAGAAACCATAAAGTGTTTGGCAGCTTGGCATGAATTAGAAGAGTTCGAGCCATGTCGAGAAGAGTCCGGTTTGTTCGCTCAACACTTCCATTCTGATGGTGTTCGTATGGTACTGACATTTCATGACGGATATTCTTCTTCTTGAGGAAATCATTGAATTTGATCGAAATGAATTCACCACCGCAGTCTGATCGAATGCACAGAACATCGTGTGAACAATGCTTTTTGAAATTTTCAATCCAGGTCATTACCTCCTTCGCGGCCAGATCCTTAGATTTCAGACCAAAAGTTGAGGTCATTCGGGAGAAAAGATCGTGTATAACCAAACCGTAGGTGCTTCCATCCAGTGCGGCAGGAAAAGGTCCAACAAGATCAACTGCGACAATTGCACCTGGCTTATCAGCTACTTCTCGTGACGGGGACTTGACCGGCTTATGAGTGCTTTTAGCCAATGAACATGAGCCACACTTTCCAGAGAATTGAGCAAACGGTTTGTCCGGTAAGCCAAATACGCTATTATTCAATATCGATTTATTGACAGTCCGGAGAGCCAGATGACCAAGACGAGCATGCCACAATTGAGAAGTCATGGAGGAAACAGAAGGAGTTTGAATACCAGGAGAAGCAGAGACAGAAGCAGACAATTGTTTTGAAGTGGGGACTGATGAGATGAACCAACGACAATTTTCAACATAAGAGGGAAAAAGACGACCACACTGAGAGAAAACAAAAAGACCATTTTTGAAAGAAACCCGACCGTCCCATTTGTCAAAAAAACCAATTGACAGAACCGTACCCCGAACTTGATTGCACAACAGTACATTGGTGAGGTGAAGATCGCCGTAAGCTGTGGGGATGTATGCGTCACCAATACCATCTACGGAAATGCATTCTTCAGATGCCACACGCAATCTGATGTTAGCAGGCCTTAAGTTGATGAAAAATTGGCGTTGCGACGTTACATGGTTAGTCGCCCCAGTGTCGCATAATACATCATCAGCCTTTTCAGGGTTGGCTGACACCGACGCCAGAGTACCATCCGAAACGATAAGACGTCCCGACATGACATTTGACTTCTTTGGCTGCCATCCTGGGTTGGATTTACGAGGGTCGTCCAGAGGCGGAAGACCACGTTTGACTCGCGGGCAGTCTTGCGCCCAGTGCCCCCATTCCCAGCAAACATTGCAGGGGAATTCTGCCGTCAAGTACTTTTGACCCCAAGAGTCAGCCGGTGGATCAGATTTACCCGATTGACGATGTCCGCCGCCACGACCTCCTCGCCCAGACGCGAAACCACGACCACGATTGCCACGACTCGGATAAGATCCACGATGAGCCGTCATTCCCATCAAAGACGAATTAGCGGCAGCCGATTGTTGAAGTTGGCACGCCATGCTGAGAATTTCCTCCGAGGTGATAGAGACGTCAGGCTTTATGGCCAGTCGCGAGTTGATGGCATCGGTTAGTGGTTGCTTGAAATTCCCAAGGCTGGAGTGAAAAGAGAGAGACAGCAACTTATCTGCTGTCAGACCCCCCAATCGCTCCTCAAGGTCGAGCCAGCTCCTCTTTAGAGATTCATAGCTGGACGATACCGAATCTGATGCGTCTGGGGCCCGCGCAACGTCAGACCATCGACTGAGGAGGAGCGACCAGGAGGGTTTAGCGAATCGCCCCTTTAGAGAGTTCCAGGCCCCATACGCCGTCATCCCGTTGAGCGATGAGCGTAGCGCTGGATCGATCGAGTTCTTGATGAGAGCCACAACACCCGAAGAAGTCCCTGGATCATTTGCTGACAAGTCGGTCTTGAAGTAGTCGGTGTTCTTTGTCACTGAGGCCACGATGTCTTTCATTGATGAAGACCACAGATGAAAGTTGGATCCATCGATAGATAGCGGGGGCTGAACGTCTTTGCCTAATTGTTGCCACTTGAGGAGCGAGGCAACAGCCGATTGAGAAGATCCTGAATCGTTCTTTTCGCCCATCATGTTCCGGAGCAAGAGAAGCTTGAGCAGGTCGTCGTTGAACCCTGCTAGACCGTTTTTCCGAAAAGCTTGCTCCAAGAGGGCATCAAACGACAGCGCAGTATCGTGGGCACCGCCCCTTTCGTCATCCGCACCTCGCCTGTCATCATCCGCGGTCGATTTATGATCGGAAGCAGACGACGGCGTCGCCGATTGACGAGGAGGATCTACAGGGGGAATAGCCGAAGTCGATGCCGACGGGCCGGCAGCAAAACCTGAGGGAAACGCAAATGAAGGCAGAGGGGGATAAATCGACGGGTAAGTAGTGGTAGGGGGGATCGAGGGATCATTTGGGCGGTTGTCCGACGGCGAGACCGGAGGGTTGTTTGACGACATCGCAGAGGTAGGCGAGAAAAAATCGGATGATGAAGGTGACGGAGAATGACGCCGAGGAGGAGTTACTCGAGCCGTAAAGTCCGGAACGATTGGAGGCAGGCCCGTAGATCGGGTGTTGACCATACAAAAACGAGGCAGGTACCGATCAAAAAACCTAGCCTAGAATGTGACGGTTGTGACGGTTGTTTAGGATATCGACCGAGAAGGCGTCGAAAAATCCAAAAACGTAGGAGGTTGAGTAGGATATCGACCGAAAGATTCGTCGAAAAATCCAGCCGGAGGAGTAAGTTGTTGGTTAGGATATCGGCCCAAGAGAGTCGCCGAAAAAAATCCAGTTGAAGGTGTTTAGGTTTGAAAGATATCAAGGTTTGACTGAAAAATCTTCCGGCTATTTGTACTGAAAAAAAGCTCTTCTTAAACCTCGCTGGTAACAGCGCAGGCTCATAACCTGTAGAGCGCAGCGGTACAAATCTTGAGAATAGGAAAACTCCCCCAAGGGAGAAACTGTATTTCGACAAGAGAGGACTATATATAGTATCTACAACTATGTACTTGGGTTGTTGAGAAAGTACAACTAAAGATAAGTGCATAATATGTAAATATATGTGTGAAAATAATATGTGAAAATCTATGTATAAGGTATGGAATATGTATATATATGTAAGTGCATAGTCCTGTAATAACAGTGTTCTCTTTGTTAAGTCCGATTGTCCGGTTTGAGCACTTGAAACAGCTTCGATCGCCCAAAAGAAGCTCAACTACAGCGAGGCAGGCGGAGGGGGTAAAATTTAAGCTCTCAAGCCAGAACAGGCATATTAAAACTCTGATCTCAATACCGCCAAACGGTGTACACTGTTTTTTAAGGTTCCCTTAGGCCTTCTTGTGTCCTTCGACCTCATCACCAACCTTCAACCTCAACCAACCAACCAACCAACCAACCCGAGTCAAGAGAACCAACCAACGGACATCCACCCATATCAATCAACCAACCAACCAACCAATCAGCTTCATAAGCTCACCACGCACACACACACACACCAGAACCATCGGAATACATACTCACATCAGCATGCCTGACCTCGATCCAAGGGAACCTACTACTACTACCACCACTACTACCACTACCACTACCGACAAGAAGAACTCTTCCGCATCAAAAGTTTGCCACTCTACTCTACCATCCCCTCTAACTACCACACACCATCATCCATACACTCAAACTCACACCAGATCTGCATTAACCATTCACTCACATGTAACCAACACTTCTTTTTGTATTTTTTTGTTTGGGGTGTGGGCTTCTCAATCAGCCTAGTCCATCCTCTCCCTCCTCACGAGCCAGGAAGGAATCGAGACATGATGTGGTAGGCGTGGAGTCGAACGATCTGAAGCAGCCGATCCCGAAGCCGGCCACGACGACGACGGGTGCAGAAGAGGGAGGAGGGACGAAGAGGACGGGAGAAGAGAGAGGGAAGGACGAGGATCCGGGGCCCAAGCAGCCATCCTCCTCCATCCAGAGCCCTGCCCGCACCACCCCCAAGACGACGATAGCCAATTCGACAAATCCTGCTGCTGCTCATTCGGACGAGGACGAGGAGGATGGTGGGACAGAGGAATCGGCGGCCTCGAAAGACCATACCGATCAGTCTCATGAAGACCAGGCTTCGGCCTCCGCTGCCGAGGAAGACACCGGCCCGTTGGTCGACATGGAAACTTTCGGCCAGTTGCTCGAAATGGATGACGACGAGGAACACTCCTTCAGTAAATCATTAACTTGGGATTATTTCGATCAAGTCTGTAATTCACCTTACTATATACTCTTTATCTTCTTGTTGTCTTTTTTTTTTTTTCTTCTGATCTTGGCTTCTTTTGTTCAATTTCCTTTGATGCTTTTATAGGCTGTGACTACTTTCAAAGAAATGGATGCTGCTGTGTTAGTCAAACAAGAGAAGAACCAACACCCCCGATTCTTTTTTTTTTCTTCACCGATTAAACTAACTGTTTTTTTGTTTATGGGGGGTGGAATGAATAGGCTCGGAGGGGATTTGATCACGTTATCTAGGAAAGGACATTTCCTGAAAGGGTCGTCGGCAGCACTAGGCCTGAACCGCGTAAAAGCATCCTGCGAAAAAATGCGTCAGTCTTTGCTTGTTTGTTTGTTGGGTGCAGTTTACTGACAACAGATTGTCTGTATGTATGTCATTGATGGACAATATAGAACACTATGGGAATAAGAAGAGGGCTAATGGGGAAGGTGCCTTGTCCGAATCGGAAGCCATGCACAGATGTAAAAACCTTCTCAATCAACTCAAAGAAGAACAAAAACTTTCCAAGGCGTGGTTGGAGGTCCGTCTCTCTTTTTGTTTCTTCTTGGACTTGAGGACCAGTCATTGGCTTCGATCTCGCTCAATCTGAATGCTAATCTCTTCTTACCGCTCGTTTCTTGGTCGGCTGAATCCGGCGCTCTTGTTTTGGCTTTTCTTCAGAGGTTCTATGCTGAACGTAACGTCTGAAACCATCTCAAAGGTATATATATATATATTTATATATTCATCGAAAAACATCGTCATCCATCTTCGTCATCATCCATCTTCATTGTCATCATCATATATCGTATTTATCGTATTTATCTTTCTTACACTTCTCAAAAGGCACATACATACACACACACAAAAAGACACAAAAAAGAAGAAAATCAAAACAAAACAAAAAGTAGAAGAAGAAGAAGAAGAAAAGATTATTATACATTGTCATGATTTGATTTGATTTTAACTGTTATCAGATTTCTTTCATATTTATCTTTATCTTTTTTCAAGCTCTCTTTGACCATCACTTATGAAGATTTTTTTTACAAAAAAAACATTGAAAAAAGAAGTACTGGTAGTAGTAGAAGTAGAAGAAGAAGAGGAGGAAGAGGAAGAAGAAGAAGAAGAAGAAGATAAGGAGAATGTGATTGATTATGGATTTTGATTGATAGACCATGTATGAGTGAAGTGTTGTAGTAGATACATAAACCCGACTCCTATCTTTATATTCTCATATATATATATGCAAGTCTTTGACAACCAACAACCAATCAGTATTTCGTTCAATCTTCCTCTCTCTCATACATTCACATGAAGAGAACCACTCCAGAGGATTTTTGTTTGTGTTCTTATTCTCTCAATCACATTGTTTTTGGGATATCATCATCATGTTCAACCACACCATCAAATCTCTTTTTTTTTGGGTCTTTTCTTTTTTTTTCCATTCTTCTCTCACTTACCAAACATACCTTTGTTGGTTTGTTTGTTTATATTTTCTTTATCAAAGAAGTCTCTGCACATCAAGAGACTCTCTCGATTTATCTCACTGCTCTCGATCCAGATCTAAAATCCTCATATCTTCTGCAACCATTTCAACTCCTCATAGACCTTGTGTCTGGAGATCAGGCTGGTTTGCATCTGAAGGTCAAGGCATCTGTAGATCATCAGATGTTACGTAGCTTGTTATGTCTCATCAAATCATCAGGCTTGGATTGAAGACTTTGAGATGTTCTACAAATGTGCAAAACAATCCAAGATGTTAAATTTGTCTCAAAGTTCAGACATAAACTGTCCTACTAGAAGAATCCACAGGTAGCATTTAAGAGAGCTTGCTGATGATCATCCACCAACTTGCAGCAATTTTCTTTTTTTTTAATAAACAAAAAGTGGTGCACAATTCATGAAACAAAACAAAACATGGCCACACATCATGAGCACTCATGTTGAACCTGCAGATGGAAACAAGATGGACATTAAATTTGGCTGAGATATCCTCATATTGTAAGAGAAAAGAAGAGCGACCAGGTAACTAGATTTCCTTTGGCCAAGTGTCAGCAGGGGATCTCGCTTAGAGATAGAGCTGGACAAGATAGGTGTTAGTAAGAAAATAAATGACTAACAAAACTAGACTAGATACAAAGGAGTAAGATGAAAGAAAGGGGAAAGAAGATGATTTTTTTTTCTTTATTTGTTTGTTTGTTTAATTGTATTACGTATATTCTTAGAGAATATGTTATAGCCGGTAAGAAAACACCTGGGCCTCTGTTCCTAAAAGTAGGTACAGTTTCAATCAGATAGGTGATGATTGTGATAGGTTTTTATCCAGTTAAATAACATGCAAGGGTTATTAGAGTCAACCCCGTTTATTTGTTTTAATGTTTGATAATTCATTTATCATTTTATTAATGTTAAGTATTAAGATTATTTTATATGAAGCAATATTAAGTAGAGTGAAGGAGAGAGAAGGGAGGAGCACGCTAATATGAGATACTGTTAATTCAACCAGTTAAAGTGATAACTTACTTAAAGAGATCCAAGGCAATTGTGAGCCTGGGTCTCAAAAGTGACAACAGGACACAAGGTATGGGGGCAATTCTAGATGTATTTCAGATGGATAAAGAAATACAACTAGAATAAGAGAAAGGGAGAGAGAGAAGGAAGAGAATGAAATGAATAATATTCTTATTGTTTATTTATTTTATGATCAAGTTTTTATACAGTCTTACTTTCCTTAGAAGGATGGCTGTTATTTAAGCAGAATTAATCTACGCCTCCTATCAACTGAAACTGAATAGGGAACTTGGTATTGATATATCAATCCAACCTCAATTTTTTAGATCAAAGATCAAGGCTCTTTAAAGGGAAACCTATGTGGTTTTCAGTTGTACCACCAAACAGATAATAATGATGACTTATGATGACTTGATTTGGATGTGATGAAGTTTAAGGCAGAGGTTTAGTAGAAACAGAATGAAGCAATCATTCAGAGAGACAGAGAAAGAACTTAGCAGAAAGATGCAAGCTGAACTTGTGGAGTGACTTACTTATTGGTGATCCTGACACAATGAGTGGGAAGATTCCAATAGTTAAGGGACTCCAAACGATAACACGGCGATGATGCGGCGGTGAAGTATCCAAGTTGAGGTTGGTGATTTCTGGTCTGAGTTGGTTCTGGGTGGGTCTGAAGCTTGAAGATCCTGAAAATGCGAACTCAGTATACTCTGAGAGAATTTTCAGAGTTGGATTACATAATCACGACATGTACATGTGGTAGAGAGTTGGAATTCCAACTTGGTTGATATTTCACAAGGTACGGTGAAATATTACAAAGTCTATGAAGGAGAAGAGTAGTGTAAAAGTGTGTAGTGGTGACTAAGGTTGAAATCACATGAGGAATTCATTTCTGAAGTCAGAATGTAATAAGATCAAGAGATAAAAAAGTTACAGTAGGAACATAGCTGAAAAGGATGACTTAAGCAGTCTTTTGGCCAGCTTGGCTGGCTCTAAGGCTGACAGCAATGTAAGGATGAGGAGGGGTAATAGCTTAGAGAACTCGGTTGGGATAATCTGAGGATAAAAGGAATAAAGCAAGAGTCAATCAAGATCTCTTAGTTCAAACTAATTCTTGAAGACAATTTAAATGAGAAAGAGATTAGATAAAATAGGACTTCTTCAAATAATTATTTTCCGGAAGAGTTATTCTAAGTAATTTACCTTTTGATTTTGAGGTCTCAAAAGTAAGCTTGAGAAGTAAGAAATGTTTTTTTTTTGCTGAGGAGGGAGGAAGGATGGTTCCGGTCTCAGGGGTTGAATACTTTGTACCAGTCCTTCTTCCAAAGCTTGGTATTGATTGCATTGCCTTGCTTTGGTCATCTTGCAAGGCTGAAGTCATTTTTGTTGAAGATTGCTTTCAATATCCAAAGAATTTGGTTTTCATTGATTAATCTTAATTTCAAGAGATCATATATCTGTGAACCCTCTAACATGTAAGTGAAATCTACAGTAATTTCAATCTTATTATTTTTTACTTGTTTTAGTGGTTTTGTGAAACCTTTAGGACATGTCAACATGTCTCTAAGCTTGACACTAAGCAATCAAATTTCTGGTCAACTTTTACTCAGCCATCACAAACCAGCTGATCGTCAGAAAACTAGCCAAAAAAGCCACATGTGAACTTTCCTATTCACTCAGTTGTTCAAACAAACTGAAAAAGTGGTCAGGAGAGAAGTGTATTTTTCTTAGAGGGTAAAAAAGGGGGTATGAGAATTTTACAAGTCAGCTTTTACAGTGGATAAGCCTTGTAATTTCAATGTCTTGCAATAATGTTGAGAATTCCAGGCGGGATGAATTTCACAAGGGTTCTTGAACAAGGGTGCCAATGTAATTAGGAGCCTTGCAAATAAACCCTTGGAAAATGACTCCCCCCAAACCTCGTGCAAGAAACTTACTCAGCTGTATTTTGACACCTGGTAACCCATCACCGCAAAAGAATGGGTCATCCTGTATTTACTGAAAAATACAGGGTATGAAACCTCCAAGGCTTAACCCATTGCAAAAAATGGTTAGGGCAAATACATGTAGCAGGCATGAGCAAGAATTTTCCTAGGCTTTCAGTAGATTTTTGCACCTGATCGGCCATCACCATCTCCCTCACCCTGCCCACTTCGGAGCACACAGACGGTCCATCAATCATGAGTTTCCTCCATTCCTCCAATGAGGACAATACCAGTGTGGATTACTCCTCTGAATCCTCTTATTCCGAAGATATCAAAACCCCAGTGATCTCGAACTCCACCAGGTTATCTCGTGGGAAGCCCACAACAACTGCCGAGACAACACTGACGATTCCGTCAGAAACTAATAACAAGACGTTCTTTTTGCCCACCATGAATGAGAAGACCTTCATCGATCATGGTTGCACGTTGGACGCAGAAGGCTATCCTCTACTCCCAAACGGCAACACTATCTTTGTCAAACCAAGCGGAATCAAGGTCACCAACTTTGGAAATGTTGGCTTTACCAAACGTACCGGCTCTGAATACCGGTCTAAGGGAACGTGGAAGCTCACTCGTATCTACTGCCTTGGCTCGCTTGCATGTGACTTGCCTCAATGTAGGTGGGCAGGCGCACCACCAACCGGTCGTGTCGTCATGTCGGAGTATCTTGAAAGGTGTTTCCTCACAGATTTGCTTATGTACATCTATTGTTCTTGGCTCATGTTTTGTACACGGCTTGGTTTAGGTACCCTCATTGCCGAGGCTCTGCCGGAAAATGTCCTGGAAATATCCGACACCACACGTGTAAGAACACCCTGATCCGAGTGGACGAGCATGTTCCAACCGGATGGGCAGTCTTGAGGCACAAAGGCCAGCATGAACATCCCTGGCCAGAGGTCAAAAAACCGGACAAACTGGCCAAGGAGGCCCTCAAGAATGAAATCTTGAAGAACCCCAAGGCTGGAGCTCTATCGCTTAAGGTATGTGCCCACTTTGTTCAATTTCAACTGTGTTACCACAGTAATGACTCAAGTGGTGGACTACAGCTGGGCAAACCAATTGCGCCTCGAGATCCGTACGATAGTGTCATGTCAATCCACCCTGCATTGCGTAATGCCGACCGCCTCAGGTACTACCGGAAACTGATGCTGCGAGAGATGAACATAACACCAGAGAAACTGGGGGCAGGCGTTGGTGACAAGTTCATCAATGACATGTTCATGTGGAACAAGTTAAGCAATGCAATCCCCTCTGACTTGATGATATGTAATCTTTGTTAACTGACAAATGAAGTGTAATCCCTAGACGCGGCCTCCAGATCACCTCAGCATCATTCCTTGACGGTTCCGAGCATTTCACGTTCCAAACAGAATGGATGGCCAAACGGTTGTTGGCTCGCGATTTGGATAACCGTGTGTACAGTGGGGGCTTGGTCTCCGACGTCACTTATCGATTTTTTGAGAATGGATACCTGTTGTCCACCTCAATGTATGTAGAAGAAATCACGCGATGGGTCCCTGTGCAACTCACTTGGATTCGAGGCCTCTCGGCTGGCTACTACCGAATTCATTTTGCAACGTTATTCCGTCAGTTTTTGAAGCCAGAAATCACAGAGGTTGAGCGCGACATCCTTGTT